AGACAGACGAGAAACGTCGGAAGGACAGTAAAAATAATGATCGAGGCTTTTTAAAAAAGTTCGAAGAATTCTAAGAAGAGAATCAGAATTCTCAAAAATAAATCGATGTGCTCCTTTCAGTCTACCAGTATGAACAGGACTGCCAACTCCGAAGGTGTCGAATTGGCTACAAAACGTCTTAAATGGGGTACACTGATGGAGCATATAATTTTTCCAAAATCCAAGGGTATGACCCAGAAAAACGGCTGGAATAAATGCTTTGTTTAGGAAATGAGAAGCCATATTTAACTTTACCTGTGCGAGAATGTTCCAATGAAGTTGCTGTGTTTTCGAATCCGTGCTTAACTGCGGCTTTGCTTTCTTCTACGATCTTGACGTCTGAATGGATCAGGTCGTCATTGTTCATTTAGTCAAAATTACAGTCAAAAATGATTTTGTAACCTTTCGAAGACAAATCAAGACGAATAAACAGAACTTTTCAGAACCAAGAGAAAGAGCCCAAAACTTAAGAGAGAAAACTGTATTTTTTATTTCACTAGAATTTGTTGGATTTCAAATGAAATTTTTCGTAATGAATCGTATCTAAATACACCAACAGAAAATGATGGTTTAACAGATGATGATTATGCTTTCTCATGGTGGTTTTGTTTGGGTAAACAATTATTAAATCGAACTGAATATGCATTGAAATGTATTTTATTACAACAACAAGATTGTTATGTTCCATGTTCACCAGTCGATGAAGTTAATTTAATACCTGTTAGACAGTATGATTCAAATAATGTGAATAAATTACAAAACAATTCATAATCTTATCGAACAATTTCCAACTCCTATTAATATCAAATTAGCTAAGTTACCCGGTTAGTTTTGTCTGATTTTAAATTTAATTCATTATCTTTTTTTTTTTTTTACTGAGATAGGTTCATATGTATATAAAGATTTTAACGGTTATTTACAATTACTTGGTTCACGTACTGAAGAATTTGCTATATGTGCATCATTATCATCATCAAATATTGCTGTTTTTCCAACAAATACTCCACTTAAATTTGTTGTATCACCATTATCATCTTCATCATCACAAATTCGAAATGTTTTATCAAGTTGTCATATATTTATTCGATCATTTGATATGCAAATTCGTCGTACACTTAAATCATCAACTCATCATAATACATCATCACATCGTTCTCGTGCACGATATCCAAAAATTCAAGCAACTATTGATGATCAATTTAAATGTTTAAAACGATCTAGCAGTAGTGATCAAAGTTCAACAATAAAAGATGATCAAACAACAGCAACAACAACTAATGAAGGTTATCGTTCAGGTTCATCAGCTCTACAAAGACGAAATAATAATAGACAACAACGAGCTACTAGTGTTGTTCGTATTTTCAAAAGTCTTATGAAATCTTTTATTTTTCTAGGATATCGGAGATGATTCACAACATACTGAACGTCGAAGAACATTATCAACAGATGATAATACAGTTTATAATTCACTTGTTCGTCCTGTTCGAGGAAGGGCAAAATCAATATCATCAACCTAACCTCCACCTACATTACCAAAAAAACCAGAAAATTTTCCTTATCCACCAAAAGCTTTTACTTATGATAGTGGAAGTAGTTTAATCGATGATATTGATTCATCAATTGCGCTGAAAGTGCTATTTTAATCGGTGCAAGCAATGAACAATGTTTGCTTTACCATCCAATAGTCGATTTTATATAATTTTTCTATTCTTTTTAAATAAATAAAAGATTATCTAAAAAAAAAGATCAGAACACTAACATTTTGACAAATCATCGATGGACCTATAAATAAATTCTTTTTTTGCAATTGATACTTACTCAGTTTCATATGTATTCATCTGTATCTAAACTTGATCGAGATATTGCACGTTCATTTTTAAATTCTCCATCATATCTACCAATTCCAATGAGAAATCAATCTACAGGTAAACAAGAAAATTTCTTCGATGATATTTTACCTCCACCTCATCCAAATGCACGACTTGGTTTTCCAACAAATACAAATATTATTCCAATGTATTATGATGTCATTATTGATACAGTTACGGATTATGATAGTGAGTAAAGAGATTTCGATTTTTGAATTTTGAATTTTTATGTTTTGTTTTTTTAGTTTTTTATCCAATAGCTAAACAAACAAAAAAATATTATTATAATTCAACTAATGATCAACAAACAATTTCAGATGAAAATTTAATCTATCCACGTTATCAAGTTCAACGACTTGATGAACTTGCTGTTTCAATGGATTTTCCACATGATTATGAATCAACAGCAAATTGGTCTGATCAAAAAGTTCAATATGAACATATACAACCAATAAAAAATGTTCGATTTAATGATAATCCAACGTGAATCCCATATTCAAAAAATAATATAGAAAATCCTTCTATTTCAATTGATCAGTATTATTTCTATCCCGAAACAACATCACATGTAAACAATGAACCATCATCTGTACGTTATATCACTACACCTTTCTTTTGGTTTCGTCCTGTTCTTGATCATAATTATACTGTTTGTATACCAACTTCACGTCCAAGTCTTCATGCTTATATAACATCTTCATTTGATCCGAAAATAAATTCTATTCCTTATTCAATTCGACTTTAAACTATATTTTCCTTGTTTTAATTAGGGAGATTTTTTAGTTTAAATATAATCAGGATGCTATCCTGAATTTTCTTTTTTTCTATTATATAATACCAAAATAAAAAATAAATTTTAATTTTAAAATAAAATTAATCCATTCTCGATAGATCATCATTTGCCAACTACGATATTTTGGTCCATTTTCACCTTGAAATCTATACCATAAATCTTTTTCCCAATTATTAATAAACCATTGTAATGCATGATTATTAGCTGATAATCTATTCATTTGATTTCTATCAAAATATTGTTCAAGTACATGTGTTCGAGTAACTTCAATATGTGAACAACATGATGGAATAACATAACGAGGAATATTTAATTTTGATGCTTGTCCATTTAACCAAATATCATCAACATGACGAATATCACCCGAAACTTGATTAAAATCTTGATAAATATGAAAATCAAAAAATGATGAACGAATTAAATAACCATAATTTGCAGTAAGAACCCCAACACGATAAACTTCAGAGAGATACTGAAATTCAATAACATGATAACCTATTTCATATTTACCTTCAACACCCCAAATCAAATCTTCACGAACTAAAAGATTAAATTATATCTCTTGATTCTATCTTTTAAATTTTTTACCTCGCCAACCTCTGAAACCAATAATACTATTTTCATATTTAGTTGAATATTTATTTAATGTTGCTAAAGCATATGGATGATAATATTGATCATCATCACAAATCATAATTGCTTGTGATTTCGATTGAAATTCTTTAATAATTGGAAGAAACTTTATCGTCGGACCATAATCTTCTTCTTCCAATCGAATTTGTACTAATTTATTAAATAATTTCTCAGTAATTTTTCATAAATCCAAACGTTTTATATACGTTTTTAAATGTCTTAATGTGAGATTTTTTTGTCTGATACTGACAGGAGTAGATGATAAATAGATACGAATTTGTTTTGGTAATTGTGTTTGAGATAATAACGAATGAATCGCAAAAGAAAGTTCATAATGAAATCGTTCAGGTGTACTTGTTAATGAAATGATTACATTTGATGAATGTAATTCAAAAGAATTTGATTGAAAAATAAAAATAGTATAATAAAGTGAAATAGAAAATATGAAAGTAAAAATCATAATCAAACGATCATTAAATTTCCATCGACAACGTTTGAATGGTGATCGACAATTTAATAATGAATTGATTTTTTTCATGAAAAAAAAAAGATTGTGGTATGTTAAATTTGATAAAGTTATTATAACATTTTGTCACTAATACAACCTGTGACACATACGATACAGAATTGGAATGAAAGAAATAAATAACTATAGTAATTGTGAAGTCTACATATGAAAGTAAAACGAGAGGTGAAGAGAACGACAAAAAAATTTCAATAAATTGTGTTTGATAATGACAGAATGTATAGGCCATCAGTACAGTTTCATATTCTATTAAAAGTGAATTATATGATCACTCGTTATGAATGCATCTCATTGTCCTTATAAAATTTAATACTGTTTACATTGCATTGTACTAGACATGAATTCTCACCCTTTAACACTTACAATTAAAAATTGAACTAATTATTTTATTATTCCACCTATCAATAGGTAATGCACTCATCCATTTTTGACCTTTGCATTGTCATAACTTAACAACTTCAAGTGACAAAGAACGGAGTTTTAAACTGCAGTAAGATACTTGACAAAATTTTCATTTCATCTGGTCGAATGGTGACAATCGTAGAACGATAAAACATTGCAGTAGTGCCCTCATCCAAAAGGACTTCTTTCATCAGAGAAATCTAAGGTAGCTCACATTTCTAAATTTTTTTCGCTCTAAGCAAAATGTTTTTATTTGTGTTCGAAGTTAAGACAACAGACATACGAACAGTTATCACCAAAAACATTCAATAGAAGGTGATACATTAATGTCAAACTATAGCTAGTATTTCTATTTTGTCAAATGATAAAAAACATTAAAAACCTTTTTCTTCATCATTTTGGCACGAAAAATACTTGATTTTGACTGGCAACCATTGTTCATTCTCGTCATTATTCAAAACAAACGATATCTATCGATAAAGAATGTACGAAAAACTATTTAAAAACAAGTTTGGTCGCTTTACGTTCGAGTAAATCTCTGCGCAACTTGGATAAACTGTGCTATGTCCATGAAATATATACAAAACCAAAGCTAAGTTGTTCACATAATACACAATATAGAGGAGAGCATGTTCAATTGTCACAGATCATTCAAAATATCTACTAACAACACCGTCGATATCACTCCGAAAGCAATGGATTGAATGTCTAATTATACCTATCAAAGTCTAATTGATGCCAATACTGAAATATTTTTGTTTCAGTCAAACAGAGAACTTAACAGTACTCCATGATATCACAAGTTTGTTCAATTGACAATGCAATTTTATTTGTTTTGAAAATTAAGGTTCAAACAAAACAAAATCTTTTTTTTTGTATTACAATTCGTACCAAAAAAGAAGAAATAGTCCATAAGGTAATTAAGTTTTACTACACTACCATAAGCATAGAATTTATTTATGATAGTATCTTGATACCGTCAATAACTGATAAAGAATTGATACAAAAAAAAAGCTAGTAAACGATTTCTTCTAATTAGTATTTATTTTGTAAAAAATAACAAATTTTCTGATGGAAATGAGTTTAAATAACTGTTTACAAAACAGATAAATCCAATTAGTCATTTGTTGTTCGAATTCAAAGATTTTTATTGAATAATAAAATCTCTTGTATATGTTTTTATCAACTTCTAATCCTTATGTCAATTTACTGCAAAAAGAAAATATGTTTTGTATGCGTAGTTGAAATTTACCCTTCAGATTTGACAAAGTCTCCATAAGAACAAGAAAGAGTATAAAGGTTTTATATTTTCGAAGTGAAAGTTGATACTTGAATAAATATGAAAAGTCTAATTTTGATTCATGTTTTGTTTAATGCTGCTGCAAATGCTCAATCATCCTCTGATCGAGAATCATTCGTCGACCGAAAAGGATAGAATGGACGAGAACCAACTTCAATAACAAATTTAACAGGAAAACCTCTTTCATTTTATATTATTCATCATACTTATCAACCTCCAAAGTAAATATTTTCTGCGTAAAATTATTTAACGAATATCATTATTGATAGTTGTTATGATGATGATGAATGTATTCAACGAGTACAAGCTATTCAATATTTACATCAAAATGATCAAGGATGGGTAGATATTGGTTATCATTTTCTAGTTGGTGAAAATGGAAAAGTTTGTGAAGGAAGAGGATGGAATCGTCAAGCTGCTCATTCACCAGGATGGAATAATGATGCATATGGCACTTATTTTTATCTATTATTTGGATGAATCCGTTGGATTTTTACTACTTTGTGCAAAAAAGAGTATTTGATGTTGATATTCCGAAAGAAAGTTTTTTTCAATTTCGACTATCTTGTTAGATGTATCATCATCGAAAATGACCTATGACCTGAATGAAAAAATCCTCTATTCTTGTTACAGACAGTTTTCGACGATGACTCACCAACTCTATATATTTATCTATTTCTAATATTGATCTTTTCTTTTCAAGGTATTTGTATCATCGGTGATTTCAGAACATCATCTCCAAATGAAAAAGCATTAGAAGCAACACGTTTATGGATTGATTGTGGTATTGAACGAGGTCATGTAACGGAAGCTTATTATATTATTACTCATCGACAATTATAATGACCAGGTTATACAGAATGGTAACGTTCTTTTCACATGTTTTCTTTATTTTGATAAAGAATATTTTAGTCGTGGTAATGGTACATTTACTGTTATAAAAAGATGGTCTCGATTTTGTTCATTTCAAAATTCTGGAGCGAATTTAACTGGAAATGAAATCCAACTATCTATTGGTCGTAATTTCTGTGAAAAAGAATTAGAATTATCATCATGTTCAGCACATCTAATTATAACGATTATTTTATTTCATCTTTTATTCATTTATTTTATATAATAAAAAACATTTTTTGTTCATCACATTCAAGATTTCTATTTTCTACATATATGCAAAAATCAACGATAAGAAATAAATGAATTCAATAATTACAACCAAATACGTATTGAATTTGTACATGTATCGATACGTAATTTAAATTCATAAGAAATATCATGTCGTTGAGGGTGTGGGTGTGGGGTGGGTGTGGGGTGTGGGTGGGTGTGGGTGTGGGTGGGTGTGGGTGTGGGTGTGGGTGTGAGGTGGGTGTGGGTGTGTGGGTGGGTGTGGGTGTGTGGGTGTGTGGGTGTGGGTGTGTGGGTGTGGGTGTGTGGGTGTGTGGGTGTGGGTGTGTGGGTGTGGGTGTGTGGGTGTGGGTGTGGGTGTGGGTGTTATACCTATTTTGCTTCTCACCCACACCGACACCCCACACTCTCACACCCCCACACCCACACCTCACACCCACACACCCCCCACACCGACTCACACCCACATCCACACCCATACCCTCAAGATCAGTTATCCCTTATGATCAGTTGTCTATGATCAGTTGTCGTCATGATCAGTTTTACCATGTTCAGATGATCATGATCAGTTGTCCGTGATAAGTTATCCCATGATCAGTTGTCCTAGACCCGTACAGTTATTATCATATAACTATTTTTGTTTTAGTTTTGAATTTCTACTAACCTTCATCACTAACAATTGACAATGAAAATATTTGAATATTTTCAAAATACCGAAATAATCGTTGTAGATAATCAAATGGAATACTATGTGCACATATTTTTAAATCTTTAATTAATAATATTGAATTTTCTTTGAAAGGATTTGATCCTAAAATAACATTACTTGACATTAAAAGTGTATTAATTGTTAATTTTTCAAGTGAACAAAAATGATTAAGAATATTGACAAAACATAAATAATCACATGAATTAATTACTAATTCTTTCATAGATGAATGTGAATTATTTAAAATAAACTCTTCTTGAAATTCACTTAAATAACAATGAATTATTGATGATTCAGAATAAAAAATTTTTTGTACTGTATTTATATCAAATGAATTTATATCTTCTGATTGAATATCAAGTGTTTCTACATTACATAAATCATTAAGAGAGCACCCATGAAGCCATCAAGCAATCGAAGCACTCGTCAAAATTTAGTTTTTCGATTTGATATTCTCATCTTGTTCAGCATCATCTAAAACCTCTAAATCCAAATTTTTAGCGCATTTGGTTGAACTGGTGAAAAGTTAGCTCAATTTTACTGACCAGCACTCACGATGATATTTGAAAAATATCATCAAAAATCGTTCGTATAAAGTGAAGATTTTTTCGGTGACATTATGTCAATGAAATTTTTCGTGTAATATACCAAAAGATAGAGCATCGAAAGCTGAACAAAATTACCTATTTACAAATTATATTTCAATGTGCTGATCGAGAGTTATTTCTCAAATACTGTCTAAGATTGACAATTTTTTGAGTAAAAAATGTGTCAACTATCTTCAGTATATCAGCTGTTATTCAGTGAATTCAAAAAGTTCCACGCTGAATTTCACATATGTTGTACAGTTTTTTCTCCTCTACAAAATGATTTAAAAAAAGTTTAAAAAAAAGTTTCCCATCGAGGCGAAAAATGGCTGACAATGGTGACCAACTAGACAGCATTTTTAAGAAAAAATTATTATGAATATTTTTTCTAATAAAAAATGGAAGTTTGAGTTGATTATGAAGTATCTAGAGCATTCTTCACATAGGTACGACATAGTTCAATGAATATATGTTCTATTTAAAATAAAAAATCATCGCTGATTATATGATATGAAGGTAAGATCAATTACTAATCTTGGATTTGTCACAATGGCATGTGAGAATATGTATGAACTCCATGAACGAATCAATTGAACTAATTTTTGTTTTCTTTTGACTTGAATTTACTGTCTGACTAAATCTGATATAATAGATAGATATACGAGTTAAAAGAAATATGGAAAGGAAGAAAAAAATTTTCTATAGACATGTGCGCTCGATGTATTTCTTTCCTTTCTGCATACGTTCGTAAATCACGTATTCATTTTACAACTATACTTTCATAGAAATACAAACGTATAAAACAATTACTTATATTATTCATCATTTATAAAGTTCCTTTATAAACTATTAAACGATTATTTTCTTTAATTAATAAGTAAGTGATAATTTATTTGTTAGAAATGACTAGCGATCAATGTTTTTTTGCTGGTTGTTGTGATGAACCTATTTGTTCGTCCAAGTTAACTTGGACGGCTTTGTCAAAAATGAAAAATGAGAAAGTAACAAAAAGTTGCTTTCCTGGTGCTGAAACAATTTTAGAAGTGATGCTTCTAAGAGCTGATTTGTTTTTTCAGCACAAATTTAATATCGATACCGTTTTCGTTTGTGACGTTCATCGTAATTCACTTTTACAACACTTTTATTTTTCAAAAGCAAAAAGTAAATGTGATTCTTGTTTGAATGTCAGAAAAACACAGTCATATGGTAAGACGGGCTTGAGAAACATTACCGTATCTCAAGCTATCATATTATTTGAAGTTTTCAAATTGAAAAACTCGTATGGAAAATTTATTTGTCCAAAGTGCCGAATGGAAATTTCGGACAAAACGGAAGTAACAAGAGAAATACTTCATAACGACGCTTTTGAGTGTCTTTTCGATCCTGAGTCAGTATGTTGTAAAGAAGACTCTATGGAAGATAAAGATCCTGATTATCAACCACCTTATGATCCTGCGACTGATAAAGAAAAATTAAAAGAACAAATAACAGCTTTGAACAATTTTCTTTCTGCTTGTGGTAGTAAAAGAAAAGTAAATGTGACAACTTCCTATAAAGATCTATCATATCGTGTCAAATTGCGATATGTAAGTTTAGTAAAACTCATAACACGATCAGCTACATTGTTGATAGCATCGGATGATGCTGACATGCTTATGCATGACTCATTTAAGGATGTAAACAGTGAAAATTCGAATATTGTTTTAGACGGAAATTTTCGTCAAATAATGAGTGGTATTTCAGAAGCATATACCAGTGCTGAATCGTGGCAATCGAGACGAGAGATTCTCTCAATCGTTGCACCGAAAATATCGTTAAATCTCATGCAACTGCTCATACCAGGTTTAACTGGTTACAGATTTTCTGCAGCGCGCTTGCAC